TGCACTTTTAAATCAAGTATTAGACACATGAGCTGTCCCTATACAAAAATAGCTGTATAGGCAAAACCAATTACCGTGAGCTAGACTCCAGATTTCACTGTTTGTTTTCCAGGAGGCTTGTTCACTGAATTCATCTATATTCACATGGTTCTCTGACCTATTTCACCATGACTAGGAATTCTTTCCATGCTGTGGTACCAGTTTTAGTCCACAAAAGTAAAATGTCAACAACTGCTTTAATCAACCTTCAAAAGCCCTGTCTTGTTTGTACTTCACCATTTGTTTAAGCTTGTAATGGGTTGGTTTCTACACACAAAAATACAGGAACTGTTTTGACAGCGAAGCTTGACAGGCTTCATTTAAGAAGAAAAACATGTTTTCTAATGATTTCTTTTTTCCCCTGAAGTCTTTATTTCTGGAGATTTCATCATCTGGACTTAGGCTTGTAAAGATAAAAGCCACTAAAAATAGGATGTTAATACTGGCACAAATACTCCTGTCAGCAATGTTTCTTTATTAAGATTGAGATTTGTTAGCAAAACCTGGCAGCAGGATTGTAATTCCACACCATGAGAGGCCCAGCAGCTTTGGCCTTGCTCAGGTATCTCCCAGCAGAGTCAGGTGGCAAAACCAGTTCCTATTCTTCGAGACATTCCAGAACCCAGCTAGTGAAACAGAGGATGAGACACGTCCTCTTCAGACCCTCTCATCCCTGCACGTGCCATGACAATGAAACATTCCTCCAATATCATCTACTACTGAGTCATCGAACAGCGGTGGCCCAAGTGTCATTTGTGGGGAGACTCGGAAGAACCCATCCTGGAGGGATGCTGCTTCCTTCAGGGTGATCAGCTGGCACCAAGTACTGATCCCATTCATGCCTTTAACAGAGAGAGCACTGGATCAGAGGAGGGCTGGTAGGAGTTTGGTAATAAGATTTATCGTATACCCACACAGGTATCTTTCCATACGGATCAATACATGGAACACTGTAAACTGTTCCATGACAGGGAAGCCTGCCATGTGAGGAAAGGCTGAGAGCTGGGTTTGTTCAGCCTAGAGAAAAGAAGGTTCAGGGGAGACATTATCCCCATGTTCCAGTATTTAATGGGTGGCTACAAAGAGGATGGAGACTCCGTTTTCACAAGGAGTCACATGGAAAAGACATGGGGTAAGGAGCACAAGTTACTCCTGGGGAGATTCCAACTGGACACAAGAACATTTTTCGCCACGAGAACAACCAGCCATTGGAATAATCTCCCCAGGGAAGTGGTGGACTCCCGTGTTGGACACTTGAGATTCGGCTGGGCACGCTGCTGGGACCTCTAATCTAGGTCACGCTTTGCCTAGAAAGCTTGGACCAGATGATCCTCGAGTCCCTTCCAACCTGGAGGGATGGGACTGTAGATTTTACAATCTTAACAAACAATACTTGCCACCCTTGATAATAAAATAGAGTTTGCTTGGTTTTACCTGATCTGGATTAGAGCTGCTACAGAATGCTCAGCTTGTAAGTAATAGTCTCGGAAGGGCTGCAGTAGATGGGCTAGAGGAAATTCATCTGTTAAAACACAAACAGAGGAATTGTTCAACAAACCAGAAAGACTGATTCTAGTAAGTCCTGGAAGCCCCAGATTTGCCAGCTCACTTGCTACTCCCCAGCTCCAACTTGAAATGAAATCCCTGTGTAATCTGTTAAGGACTAGTTACATGTTTTGCATGTCTCCTCATCAGAGCTGTCAAAGGCAAGTCAAGACCAGCAGTACTTTTCCTGTCTCCATCTTCTAAACAAGGGGAACATATGGCCACTGAATTGTTACAGATTACTTGAGTCGCACTTTACCAAATCACCAGACTGAAGCATCTGCTGGGTGCTCGAAGTCTTCAATCTCTTGTGTTTAGTCTCACTTTAGCTTAATCTACAACCTCTTCTTGCAAAGCATTATGAAATTGTCTTGAAATACACCACAGTCTACGCTGAGGAGCATCACATGTGTTAATAGCACACTGTGTTTATCCCATCCTTTCCTCAGACCATATTTTATTCCAGTGGATGATTTATTTCTTTCTTTCTTAACTATCTTTGTGCCTGCATTTTAAAAACCCAGTGTCTATGGGGTGGGGGTGTGGTGTGAAAAAAACATGTCAAGTATAGGATGCAGAATTTACCTGGATCCCCAAACAGCTTGGAATCCATTTCGAGTTTCTGCTGAAGTAGTTTTTCTCTTTCTTTCTTCTGTTTCTTTTCCATCTCTCTCTTCCTTTCCTCCTCCTGTTCTCCCTCCAGCATAACTCTTAACGCTCTCTCCTCAGCTTCATACAGCTCTGTGCGATTCTGGAGCAACGTTTTGAGACTCTCCACCTCAGTTTCAAAGGCTTCATCTGCCGAGGGGGGAGGACAAACACCTGAACAGAAAGAGAATTCATTTTGAACTTTTGCATTCATAAGGGGCTGTTACAAGATTTGAGAGAGGAGCTGGAACATGAGCCCAGCCTTGCTAACAACCATCTTAGTGGCCCAATTCTTCTACTAGGAAAGAGCTTGGAGACACAGGAACACAACCACTGAATTCACAGCATCACAGAATAGTTAGGGCTGGAAAGGACCTTAAGATCATCCAGTTCCACACCTCCCACTAAACCAGGTCACCAAGGCTCTGTCCAGCCTGGCCTTGAACACTGCCAGGGATGGAGCATTCACAACCTCCCTGGGCAACCCATTCCAGTGCCTCCCCACGCTTACAGTAAAGAACTTCTTCCTTATATATAAACTTCCCCTGTTTAAGTTTCAGCAGTTTACAACTATTCTTGCATAACAACGTAACTAAAATCACTAATGAACAGCTTTTTCAAGCTGCACCTTGCCAATTGGCACAGGGCACTCACATCAGCTTATGTCCTGTGTGTGCAATTAGAAGTTTGGTAAAAACCTCATCATTAACCTTTCCTGGCAGCAGCCTCTTTCCTCAGTTTCCGAAGCTTCTCCAATGCGCGCAGGATGTCCACCATCCTCTTGGTGTCTGCTTGTTTCTTCCGTACTTCAGATAAGACACTGTCTGCAGCAGCCTTAAGTTCTCGTTCCTGTGAAAGAGAGAAAAACCCAGACCTGATGTGTGACATATCCCACAGACAAGAATGAAATGGTACTTTCAAACAGATCACTGGATATAACAGTAACTTCCCAGTGACTTTGCAGCCATAGCAAGTGAAACAAGTGAAATCACCCATCCAACCTTGCCTTTTGATTAAAAAGCTAAAACATGGTAGACTTTTAGAGACAACAAAAGAATACTGAGCAACTCCTAAATTCAAGCCAAACGGCTATTGAATTCACAAAGCCAGATAACCAGCCTTTAACCACACAAAGTCAGGAACAACATTAACCATACACATAAACCATCCTCATTCTACAGCTCGGCAACTGAACACCATTAATGTGCCACAGACTGAACACAAAACCCTTCCCGAGAGCTGCTCTGTGCCACCCCGGCAGCAGACCCAGCACCAGCAGAGGAGTAGCTCTTTAGCCACCAATCAACACAAAGGTGTCAACAGCACTTCCCAGCAAGCCCAATGTGAGGGGGTTTTAATCCTTTGGGGCCATCGTACTTCCTGGTAATAGTGAAACGCTTGCAAACAAGCTTTGCAGGACGAAGCCAGCAGGCAAAGGTTATGGTTACTGGAATGGCACTGACCACCATAAGCTGTGTGTGAGCAGTGAGGGCAGGTCTAGGACCTGAAAGACTTTCACATCCAACCAAGAGTTCAGAATCCAGTTAAATTCTGACTGTGAAGGCCTACTACAAGAGCGTGGCAAAGCCCAAGGCTTTCAATGAAGAAACAGGGCTGTAAGCCTTGGAAACCGCACATCTCCAGCACGCTGGACCCATGCAGCAGCCAGCTGCAGACCTAAATCCAGGTGCCGGCAGACACAGCCCTGCTGTGAGCCCATTGACCAACAGGTCTCCCCCAGCTCCACCACCTTGCCCGGAGCCCAGAGGGGCTCGCAGCAGTCCCCGTAAGGCCACAGTACAGCTGGGGTAGGAGGCTGAGCCCGCTCGGAGCCGTACCCGGTTCTTCTCCTCCACCTCCTGGATGCACTTGGCTCTCCACTGGTCGATCTTGGCCTCCCGCTCGGCGGCCCGGGCCTTCTCCTCCTCCTTGGCCGCCCTGGCCTCCTGCTTCCTCCGCTGCAGCCGCTGCCTCCTCTTCCTCGCCCTCTCAAGCTTCCTCCGCAGCGCCTCCCGGTAGCCGGGCTCCCTCAGGGGCCGCACGACCTCCCGCAGCTCCTGCCGCGCCGCCTCCGCCTCCTCCCGCACCCGGGCCCAGCCCGCCTCGTCGGCCTCGGCCTCCCGCTGCCGCAGGGCCCCGCAGAGCGCGGCCAGCCGCGCCACCCGGCCCAGCGCCGCCACCGCCAGCTCCCGGGCGCTGCTGGGGCTGGCGGCCGCGGGCGGCGGCGGCGGCGGGGGAGCGGCCTGGCGCCGGCTCAGGAACTGCGACAGCCACAGCTCGTCCTGCTGCCGCCGCGCCGCCTCCTCCTCACCCACCGGCCGCGGCGGGAACGGCGGCGCCGCCGGGAAGAACTGGCCGCCGGCAGGAGGGAAGCGCGGCCTCGCTTCGCCCTCGGGCCCGGCCGGCAGCGGTGGCAGCAGGAAGGGCGCAGGAGCGGCCCCCGCCGCGAAGGGCCCCGGGCGGGCGGCGGGGCCGGGGAAGGACGCGGCGGGCGGCGGGAAGGGCCCCACGGGCGGCGGGAAGGGCCGGAACGGCGGCGGGAAGCGCCCGCCGAACGGAGGAGGCTGCGCCATGCTGCCGCCTCGACCTCGACATGCTGCACCCGCCGCGCAGCGCCCCCTGGCGGCGCGGAGGACCCGTCCCTCCGCGTCCCCACCCGGCACAGCCTTTTTGTCACCTATTGATCACTTAAAAGCCTTAAAACCTCAAAATACCTTTAAACTTTAAACCTTCTGGGGCTGACGTCAGGGATGACAACGCTCCGGTGCTTGAGTATTCGCTCGGTTTTATTCAAACGGCAGAGGTGAAGTACAAACTGTAGTTACAGAGCGATTTGTTTCCTTAAAAACAGTTTGTGTTTTACATAATTCCAAACAACTTTCAAAACTAAGTTGTTGAACAGTTTCACCTAAAAGGCTGGGGTTTGGTTTTAATCCATTTAAAAAGGGAGCTGAATGAGAGGAGTCAGAATTAAAAGCGGTTATATGTACTTTTTTCACTCTAGAAGGAGGAAAGTGAGGATGCAGGTACAGATAGTTCACCCCAGATTCCCATTGTGAGGGCTCTAAGCTCCTAGAAATACTCTCAACTCCCAATGCAGCTTTTTCTGAACCATTAGTGGGTCGTTTTACCTGAATAAAACCTGAAATCCTAAGGGAAGTATCTGCTGCACCTGGCTGCAACTGCATGTCACACTGCTTCTAGGTCAGAACACAAGTATCACATTAAATTTACATAACAAAAATCAACAGAAATAGGGTCAATGCATCCACGGTAACCTCTCCTGCCCTAAAACATCCACTGGACTGAAAAGAAGGATGAGAGTTTCATTTAAATAGTGTGAATTTAAATGTTAGAAGAAAGGGGCAGTAAAACCTAAGCCCAGGTATCATTGAAGAACAAAAAGTTGCAAGTAACGATTCTAATTCCCAAAACACACTGGTCCTTCAGTGTTTCCACAAAGATTCTCCTAAAGGATCGTATTCATTTTGGTACAGAAGAGGGAGGATCGCTTTGCTGCCAGACTAGAAATCAAAGACAAAACCACAAGAAGCACTACCAGCATTGGAGCAGATAACTTAAAAAGCGCCGTGTGAACGATCACTACAGGTTACATCAAAAATATGATACATTTACTTCTTTCATCTCTTAACATTATAAGATAGAGGTTGGGCAAAGTGCACCAAAAAACTGATGCATGATAGTTCCAATACGTTAAACAAAATGTACTATATTAGAACATTAATAGTTAAAAATTGATGTTGACTTCTCGTCCAAATTCAGATGGCTTACCGCGTCCTAGAAATCCTCTGGAAAAATGAATTACCAAGTTCTGACTTCACCTTCTTTCACGGTATTCCAGGTGATGAAAGCGTACTCCTAATGGAGAGGTGAAGGATAATTATTTGCTATTGCATTTCAATTACTGTAACAAACTAGTGTCACATCTTAGCAAGATCTCCCAGCAGCGTCACAAAGCCTGTCCCAGTTTCCGCTGTAACAAGTCACTCCAGCACCCACCTGGTTCCAACCCAACACTGACCCCAGTGCAACCCCCTGTGAGGAGCTAATGGTTTATTCACCCTCCACCAATTATTCATCTTGATTCCCATGTTTGTAGAGTAATATTACTGTAAAATTTAACTATTGCAGCACCGGCGTTGCTGGTTTAGTTTCTAGGAAGAGCGATGGATCCAGGTGCTGCTGGATTTGCTATACATTTTAATTGAACAAGTGTAATATACAATTCATATTTGAACATTATGCCATCCAAGTCCACACAATGTCCATCGGATAAATCAATGTGATGTTGCAAGAAAATACACGATCTGCTTGAGCTAATAAAGTTCCTCATCACGTATCCGAGACAGATCCAATGCCTTTTAGTATCAGACTGAAGCCAGAAATAACCAAGTGTGCTTTATGCAGGCGAGCATTCTGACAGTATTTAATGGTTTGCAGCATCTGCTTGTCGTGGCCAACCTTCTTCCTCCACACCAGAATCATATTCTTCCTCAGATGAATCTTTAGTGGGAGCCCTATAATTAAAATGAACTGATCAGATACTTTAGATACAGTTTCTGTAGCTTATGGTCAATATGTTACCCCAGTGAAAACTGCCCTGACAAGCATTCAGCTCCTGAATGACCTTCTGAGCTGAAAATGATGCTATGCAGATCACTACCAGTAGGCACTCTCATTACTGAGAGCAAACAAGCTGTTGAATTCAGTTAAGTCATTTGATTTAATCAATAAATTTTGTATTTCCAGCAAATATGAACGGTGGTGCTCTACAAAATCCCATAAAGCAGCCATCAGTGTAAGTAATCAGTATCTGTAAGGCAGGATACTTTCCACTCCAACTATCTCCTTTGAGACACAAGCTTCAGCACAGAGAGGAATACAAACCACGTACCTCAGTGGAGGAAGTTACCCCCAAAAACTTGTCAGGGATAAAAACCAAGCCAGAGTTCCTCAGTTTCATACCTATGTTTTTAACCTGACCCATTCCCTCTCAACTCCATCCTTTGTTCACTAAAATCAAGACAGTTTTGTATTCCTAAATCCAGATTTTTCCCCATGCTTTCATCATTCCACCACAACCTTACCACAATATAGCCTTTACAACATTAAATTAAGAGCTCAGCAAATCAGTACATGTGCCTTTGTGGCTCTTCCTTCTTCTGCACTGCAAAAGCAATGGAGAAGAAAAACTGCAGCAGCCTGCACAAAAAATCAGCCTCAGTGACAGAAAGTAGTAGGTGAAAGTAAAAAGTTCCATTTCAGGAATTTCAGTAGAGTCACAATTAAACTTCAGCTTTTTACTGTTAACTTATGATGCTTATAATTCACTTCTATTTCTACAGGTATACACACATACACACACAAAAGGCTTAAAGTAACTTCATATGCAAGTTTATTTTTAGATTTCTATTTAAACCCTAATGCAATACAACCCCAAATTATCCCAAAGCCCCTAGACAGAATAGGCACTAGTTTGGCTGTGTGCAGCATACGGAGACTTGGATCCCTTTTAGGTTGTGTGTTTATAAGCTTGTTCCTACAGCAAACAGCAGAATACCTGTCTAGCTGTACAACTCGTCTGCTCTGAAACATCTGTTACGGTTTTACCTAATGTATCCTGGCTCTTTTTTGCCTTCTACAACATCTTTGTCAACTTCCACGCATACAATGTCAGAATTGGGCACTTCAAACATGGGCTCCAGTAACAGCTTCTCCTACAAGAAAATAGAAGGGGCAAAACATTAGTGTATATCATGTCAAATATTTCTTCCACATAACAATATGGTCAGGAAGTGATTTTCAGAGCTAGAGAGTTTTCTTGGAAGAAAAGACTTACTGCATCCCATGTAAGACCCCGAACTAAGTGAAGCTGTGACTGAAAGCTGTCATGTTTAGGTCCATATACAAAAACGTAAGTAGCTTCATTTACTCAACGTGAAAATTTACTCACCATTATAGATCGAAGGCCTCTTGCACCAGTTTTTCTGTCCAGGGCCAGTCTGGCTATAGCCTTCAATGCATCTTCAGTTACATTTAATTCACACTACATATAGAAAAATTGCAAATTTATTTATTTCATTTGTAACTCAAGAGTGGGTTGACTGCGACAATGCAAGTGTTACTGAAAATAACAGCAGTGATTTACTTGTTACAGACCAAAACAATTAACCTTTAAGCTTCAGCTGCTCTTTGGTTTCGACTAATGTTACCAGAATTTACTACATCCCTTTATCTCTACACTAAATGAAGTGGCTGTCGAGGCCTACTAGGCAAGGTCACGGATGCCCATTTGAACATGAACATCAAGTGCAGCTCAACTACTTCCAGGTTACTCACCCCACAAGGACAGTTACCCACTGTAAGCCAGTCAGGTTTTAACCAGTTTGCTTACTTTTTCTTCCACAGTGGGGAGGTGCACATGTGGGGGGGAAGAAGCGATTCCAGCTGCTATTTTAGATCACTTCAACACTGTATTTATAAACAAGAATACTGAAGAGTCCCCCAGATAAAAACTTCAAACCTTATCCATGCTGAACAGGGCCTGGTACTGAGGAACCACAGCATTTCGTGGCTCAGTAAGAATCCGTACAAGGGTTTTCTCATCCAGGCTGTGCAGAGGAACCACCACGGGCAAACGTCCCACAAACTCGGGAATCATGCCAAACTCAATGAGATCCCTGGCTTCCACGTGACGCAGCAAGCGATCTTTCTCTTCAATTTCTTCCTGGGGATCAGACTCCCCACTTATATTAGCAAGATCAGCAGCTGCTGCAGCCCTTCTGCCTTTGCCCATGTTAGCTGGTGTGCCAAATCCTAGATACTGCAACACAAACATGTTATCCTTATAGAATTATAATAGTTACAGTTTTTAATATAACTAAATCACTTTCTATGTGCATTAAAAAAACCTGAAGTGACTGACTAGGCTCAGGAAATTACTTACAGTAAAATTACACCCCTTGCACAATCAGTTTAATTCTCTCAGTAAAGTATTAAGACACCAGCCTAACAGCAAGGTTATCAACGTATCCTCATCAGTTTACACATCCCAGTGGCGCTAAAAAGGGTTCTTCAGACGTTAAGCAAATGCATGCAAGAGTGCTTGCATGAAAAGCTACCTGAATTATCATAAAATGTGGATTTCAGTTACCTCTCTTGTTAGAAACAGGGTGCACATTTGGCAGAAAGCTGCAGCCACAAGAACTCTGTCCCCAGACATGAACACAGAACACAGTGAACTGCATGACCAGGCATTTTAAGCTGATGTGAGCTTTTAGCACCATTTGCTCAAACTATAAGTATAAACGGTGGAAGTTTTTTTCTGGGGATATCAAAGGTTCTCTCAGTTTCCTACTCAGGACACTCCAACTGAAAGAAATCCTATTACAATTGCTACAACTGTTTCACATACTCTGTCTTTAAGAAACACTGGACACTGCAACAGCATTAAGTTTACCAAGTAAGCAGGGACAGCAAGTGGTCCCCCAACAGCCTTTAACCCTCCCTATTTGCATATGCTAAAAATCTCTCTCTGGAAGCAGAGATCACTGCAAGCTACTTAAGCCTACTAACAATAGGCTTGTTCTTTGAGCCTACCTTTCTTAGGCTTGACCTCAGGTACCCAGATAACAGACGGAAACCCCCTGCTCTATAAACATAGTGGGTTTATACATACAGCACCACCTTTAAGAGTCTCTACTGTGAACAGTAACTACCATAGTAATTTTTCAGTTCAAATACAGCCTGATGCACTCACTTTTTCATTCTTCCTCCTGCTGATAATTCTGTCCAGACCATTAAAAGCACCAGAAGCAACAAAGAGGATGTTTGTTGTGTCAACCTGCACCGTTTCTCCACGTAGTTTACGAGAATTCTTTTCTGGAACATTTACTATTGTGCCTTCGAGTAACTTTAACAAGCCCTGAGGAGGGAAGAAGACAAAGCAATAAAAAAATTCCATTGTGCAGCATCATATAAGGCAGCACACCAGCCTGTGCTGACTTTCACAGAGGTACTTGCATTCTTTAATCCCTTAAGCCTTTATAGTAACAGCAAGTGCCTAATGAAATCAGTTTTCTATATGATCCCTCTCAAGATAGACAAAAACCTTCCTTTAATGTGACTCCCATGCACATTCTGAGCTGTACTTAGCAGTAAGTTGCTTTAAGGGTTTTGCTGAAACAAAATGCTTTCTGTTCTTGCCTACGTTATGCAACTTTGCCATCTGAATGCTGCAAAGATGTTTTTCAATTAAAATGTTTCTATGAAGCAGTTGTGAGTTTTATTTTGAATGAAGAGGAAAGATGAGGGTTTCAAAAGGTTAATAATCAGGGTACTGTAGAACTGTGACTCTATACACCCCCATGCCATCGGACACACAACAGACTTGTTGGGCTGCTCCCTTACAAAGGAAAATCACTCCACGGAAGTACTCACTTGTTGAACCCCTTCTCCTCCAACATCCCGTAACTGATGAATGCCAGGAACACTGCCAATCTTATCTACTTCATCCAGAAAAACAATTCCTGCAGTTACAGAAAATGGATTTAAGGAAGACTCCACTTTTTAAGAGAAGCAAGAACTTACACATAGGGAAGGCAGAACATGATTTAAGACAGCAGCAGTCTGTTCTACTTCTGCATTGTAGGTTACAAAATGCACACAACCTTGTCCAACTATGGACAAGAAGAAAAGCTACATGGTATGCGTAGAGGTCTCTTCAGGTTTGTTATTCCCGATTTAAAGTTCAGGTACATGCAACAGGAACACCAATAACAGAAGTACTGGTGGTCTCATTAGAGCATTTAAGCGAGTTTAACACAGTCTATGAATGAACTTCAGAAAACATGCTGCAAAAGTTTACCTTGTTGAGCTTTCTCTACATTGTAGTTGGCATCTTGGAGGAGTTTTGCAATGACAGATTCAATGTCTTCACCAACATAGCCAGCTTGGGTCAAGGTAGTACAATCACAGATGGCAAAGGGTACATCTAGGCATTTAGCTAGAGTCTGAGCCAGCAAGGTTTTACCTGATAAATAAGACCTGTATGTTACAACCACTACTCATTTCTCTAGAGCACACAAACCCAAATATTTACCACAGAGTCATCATTACTGTTATTAGATACTCTGAATGATGCCAGCATGCTCATATATTCATATAAGAATACTTCCCAAAGCAGCTAGTTTTCACAAATAGTGTTTTTTTTACATTGGCAAGTTGTATTTCTCAATTAAACTAATAGTACATGTTTGAGGTAGCTTGAAATGCGCACAGTATCACAAATAAATCATCACACAACAACAGAAACCACAACACATGTACTTGCATAGATTAAAGATTAAATAAATCAGTAGTCCTTTGCAGACACTCAGGGTACAGTGCAAAGTCCAACTGCTCCTGCTTTGAAGTTGAGGAGAAACAGAATTGAAGTATTATTTAGTAAATGTTCTCCCAAATAGCCTGAAGAATGCTTTCACCTCAGCACAAACACTCCCACTTCTTATGAACATTCAATTATCAGTTCTCTTTTAACCCCCCCTGTAACTCATCTGTCCCAGAGGTGAAGAACAACACTTTCGAAGCGCAGCATCTCAGCTTGCCATCTAAACACAGACTTTAAAATGCATTTGAAATGCATGAAAGTTGCACTTTTTAACCAGGCAGTAAGGAAAACCACAGGAATAGAGCTCCTTCCTTTTCAAGGCCATTTAGCTCAGCTTCTTACCATGGCATGAAAGCACAAAATCCCCAGTTTGGAATCCATAGCTTAGCTTTTTTATACACCAAATTGGAATAATCACAGAAAGAGGAAAATCATTCAATAACAATCAACTGAAGGAAAAATCTGAGACCTATAAAACCACACAGCGGTAAAATACCTGATCCAGTTGGTCCAAGCAGCAAAATATTACTTTTTTCAAGTTTTATGTCATCATTGGGTGAATCTAGGACTTCTCCTCCCCGTTTTTCCTGAGGTATCTGCTGGTTCATTTGTTGCTGCATTGATGCTCCCAAAGCATTACCGTGTGGACTGATTCCAGCAATCTGCAGAAGTTCTGAAGAAGACAATAAGAGAACTGTGTGAGCACCACCAGAAGCTTTAATGCAAAATAAAAGCTTGGTGGTTCTGTTCAGTTCTGCAAGTCTCTAATTCTAGCTATAGAGAAGTTAAGAGATAGGACAGCAACAGAAATATGGCACAATTATTACAAAAACGTGAGTTTCAACTACATTTATGCACAAATATATTTGCATATATGAAAAGAATTATCTAAAAATATTCCTCTACAGTAAAAACAAGAGAAATTTTCAGTCCTTACAAACTACCTCATTTTAACTGTAGTTTTTAGTATGTTTTAGAACACATGAGAAGAAATGAACCCGAAATGTTGAACTCTATGATGAAAAAGTACAAGAACTGGTTTACTGTGACGAGTACAAAAGCAGGGCCCAAGTCTCAAGACTGAAAGAGTTGTCTTACTTCAGTTACTAAGGTTTTGGCCCTACACATGCATATGGAGACTGAGCTGGGTTTTCTTCTTTCAGAGCACTAGTTTCAATTGGTTTGCAGGGCAGAATTTTAAAGATCAAGCAAACTGGTTTGAAGAGGTGTAACTGGGATTACAAACTGATCTACGCTAGGCTAAGGAGTTCAACAGCCAGTGAGAGTTCTGGTGGACTGAAAATAAACATAAGTGACATCACTCAGACAAAAAAAGAGGGCATTCTGAGGTTCAAGGTGACAGTGCCTTTTAAGAGCGCAAATACCCTGCAGTTGCACAACTTCCCTTATTATCTATCTTACATGATACTCTGTGTGGTATTAGCTATATAATCACATCTCAGACAATTCAACTCAACTTTGCTCTACTGAGAATAATTCTAAGAACAGGTAATTATTTAACCAGCTTCAGAAAAGGCATTTTTACAATTTACCTGCTTTCCACCTAGAACTAGATAAGGAGTCAAATCCCAGTCAGCCCTTTTAAAGCTGCACTCAATGCCATCAATTAAATTTACTTGCAGAAGAAAAGCAAACAGGATTTCAGCCAACATTTCAAGCTAGCAGTCACTAAAGACCATTCTGCATTAACATGAAAACAGTAGATATTGCAGAGGAGGACATGAGGAGAGAGTTCACTTACTTGTAAATCTGTACTCATCCTCCCGTCTTCTGATTTCTAATTCTAAGAGAGAGGATGAAAACAGTAATAAATATAAGTTGATAAAAGCTTATAAATTCTCCACCTCTTGCCCTCTTCTGAATACATCTCATCACTATGTATGAATGCATTTCTAACACGAAATCCCCACATGAATTACTTTCTATTGCTGCCAAAATTAACCCAAACCCCAACCTGCTTTTAAAATGACAGCAAGTTTTCTGCTACTTAAACAAGTAACAATCTACTGCCTCTGATTAGATTTTAGTTTCAAAACCATACATAAGGGGGAAAAAATGCAGTAATATAATTTTGCTTAAAAAGGCTTCCCTAAACTCTCACATTCAGATCTGAGTGTTACAACATAACATCTCCCATATTTCAAAGCACTGTTACAAACATTTTCTGCCAGTCCCTCTGGTTATGCACCGCTTTATTTCCCTGTAGAGGGTTAGGAACTTCCCAGTGCCAAGTACACAACTACTCTCTTATCATTACCAGAACAGTGCTACTCATATTCCCTCCTCAGTTAAAACACTTCTTTATATAAATTCAAAAGCAAAGCAGATTTCTGTTTGCTCAGCATACTGTTTTTTGTAAGAGAATATAAAACACCTTAAAAAAAAAATCAAGGTACACTTTGAATCAGAGACAGTAACTTAAGCCTACTTCTAAAAATAAATTAAGATCAACATAGCTACATTCTTACTCAGCAGCAAAAGTACTGCCAAGAGTAACTCCATCTACACCTACTAGATATGGAACAATACTATGGTGACCAACAGATGCTGCCAACAGCAGCCAAGTGAGGTTGGAAACCCAGCTATTCATCAAATTACCTATGCAAAATAGTATCTTCATGATCTGCATTGTGGCTTGCTGATTAAGCAGCAGATTTACTGTTAAGCAGTAAATGAGATTAGAAAGTAAAATTTAGGAAGCTTGCTTTATGAAGTTAAATACCTAATAATACATGTCAGTAAAAAAGCTAAACATTTAACACAGAAGGCAATACCCATGGCAGCACAGACCTTCTGGATTACTCTTTAAAGAAATCACATAAAATCACATAGAGTAAAAATTAGATTTAATAGAAACTCCTTTAGATCATGTCATTTTCAGAACATCTAACATCAAAGTAAAACCCTTCTCAGGTTTCTTAAGTGAGGGCCCTGAGATTGATTTGACCAGAAAAAACATCAAACATCATACAAACCCCTTGGTGTTAAAGAAGTCTGCTTTTCAACTTCTGCTTGCTGTCTCAGGTTAGCTGGGATATTATTGTAGATCCTCTTGTAATGATTGTACACAGCAACCGAAAGCACCTTCTTGGCAAAACACTGACCAACAACGTATTTGTCGAGGTAGTTGTAAATCTGAAAAATAACTCAATCTTAGTAACACTTTACATCACCTTGCAGCAGAAAAAACAGTATTACTGTGCCAAAGATGGACTCTGGCCTAAACCCATCACTACAGAACTAAGAAACAGAAAGACAACAATTAAAATACAGAATATATTCCTGTTAAGTTTACTTAAAACCATGGAGCTTACACAATCACACTGTGTCTCTCAGTTCTCCCCTACTAATATTTAAACCCATTGTCATTTTCACCCAAATTTGTAAGAACAACAGAAAGGGCAGCCTACCCAGGAGCTATGCACAGCTTCAGCAACCACCGCAGTCCACTAGAACTGAGAAACACAATAAGCTCCCTCACTACTCGGGAGAGGGAAACCAAATGATTTAAGATGGGTCATGGCCAGAAGCTAACCAGTCACAGTTCTCACTCAGAAACAGGCCAGATCCAAGGTTCTGCAGCTAGAGAAGGAAGCTGCTAACATAAGGGTACAGAATATGCCAAGAGCAGGAAATAAAAGATACTGCAGTTGGTGAGGGTTGAGGTTAGCCTCGGGGTCACAAGGAGAAAATGAAGGTACTGGACTTCAGTCACAAGATGAAGGCAGAGGAAAAACAAGCCCAACTGCTTCTATTGGATCTACTTGTTTCCTTTATCAGTGCTCTGCTGGGTCACATAGCTCCTAAAGGTTTAATCTTGAGCTAATCATCTTTATTGTTTGTTGCTCCAACCATTACACACCTGATGCAGATTAAGAAGCAAAACATTCCACCATGCTGCAATGCAAGGAAACGCTGGAGTGACATTAAGAACCAACCTTTTTCGGTGGAGGCGGCGGCTTCTGCTGGAATGCCAATTTCACAGCTTCTGCTGCTGACTCGGGCTCTTTAATGATGCTCTTCTTTGTGTCTGCCTCTGACAGTACAACGAAAAAATGGTGACACTTTTCACACTTCACAAAGCGGGTGGAAGCTGCAGGAAAAGTAAACCAAAGCAGTAAGAGGAATCGTTTAGACAGCATGCATTAAACTGCCCGAGTTGGGCACAAGCACCTGTAAGACAGCACAGCCACCTCTGTGTTTACACACTTCCCCTTCATTCACCTTCAGAGCTTTAAAAGCAATCATTGGACTATGAAATCTGACACAAAGGGAATACAGTTTGCTCAAAAAGTCACAATGCAGGGCAGCAACCAAACAAGGGATGAAAAACCAAACATCTGTTTCATACTTATTCAGTAGCACTACATGTAGAAGAGGAAACTCTGCACCTCAGAGCAGTGCAAAGTTAATGAGGAGCTGATCCTAACTCTCAAACTAACAGGCAAAAAAACATGGTTAAGGGTAAACTCTAAAGTGTGGGGAAGCAATCTACAGTCTCAAAGAGATGTAGAGAAAGGAGATATGTAGCAGCTCCTTGACTCTGCATCCCACTGGCTGTGGAACACAACACAGCACGCTCGAGTCACCTAAACCCAGTACACAGAGTGCAGCAGGATCACCCAAAGGGTTCATCCCAAGCAGAGGCAGCTGTGGTATGCAACAGATGAACAGGACTTTGATGTTTTGCAAGATCTTTTGCTTATTTATTTGTACTGTCAAGAAGAGAACAAACTTCTTTTGAATCCCAAAAGCCAAACCCCCACCACCACTAACTTTGTGAACTCTGTCTCAAGAAAACGTATTACCTGCAGAGACTGGTTTCAAGAGCCAGCAATTTAGAACTTGTGCTACTTGTGTTATCCTTGGGAAAAGCAAAGTTGAAATAGTGGAAAATAAGCAGTAGAGAAGAATAAATCTGTCATTCAAAACAGAACTTTTCTGACCATAGTACCATGCTATTAAATGCAAACCACATGCAACAGGACTGACTTAAAGTAAATGTAGCAAAACACGAAAAACTTGCTTCAACACTTCTGAAATCATAAAAACTTCTTAGCAAATGCCCTGACCAGTGTAGTAGCAGCTGATTTTAATAACAGCCACTAGCAATAAATAAGCTGCTTATTTTTAACTTCTTGTTGCCTCCCATAGAGCTGGCATCAGCAAAGAGGGGTTTCTTTTAACCCCTCACACCTTGTAACAGGGTAAATAAGACCAGCACGTTCTTTTAAGAACGTAGCACATAATACTATGACCATCACAGCTTTATTAACTCTACTCCAAAGAAAACCTGTCTAAAGGATGGAAAGCTCTTCTGGCATCCTTCCAAATTGCTGTCATCTGCCTGATGGGAACAGGGTAGAGAACCACCTGCCTGCACCCACCCTGCTCACATAACTGTTATTTAGCAACAATACTGTAGGGGAAAAAAAGCCCAGACTCTCCCTGAATGGTCACTCAAGACACCTCTGATACTCTTAGTGACCACAGTGCCACGAGGCTGTTATCCTTCCTTATGCAGTGCTAAAAGTCAGCTTTATTAGTTAGCTGACAGTATTACAGTCATCTGACAGCCACAAGAAATTTGCCCCTTAAAGATCCACAAGGATGGTTAACTAAATACAAAATAAAGAGCAGGCTGTAAGAATACTATTGTACATCTTTTACACAGTATTTTTTCAGTGAATGATGTTTTAAGGACACTTTTATCAATTACCCCAAACAACACAAATGAAGCATATTAGAGATCTTCTAATTTTCAGCAAGACCAATAGAATCCCAGATTGGCTTGGACTGTAAAGGACCTTAAAGCTCATCCAGTTCCAGCCCCCTGCCACGGGCAGGGACCCCTTCCATACAGCAGCTTGCTCCAAGCCCCTGTGTCCAACCTGCCCTTGAACACTGCCAGGGATGGGGCAGCCACAGCTTCTCTGGGCACCCTGTGCCAGGGCCTCAGCACCCTCACAGGGAAGAGCTTCTGCCTAAGAGCTCATCTCAGTCTCCCCTCTGGCAGGTTAAAGCCATTCCCCTTGTTCTGTCCCTACCGGTCCTTGTCCAAAGCCCCACTCCAGCTTTCCTGCAGCCCCTTTAAGCACTGGAATCTGCTCTAAGGTCTCCCCTTAAGGAGCCTTCTCTTCTCCATGCTGAACCAGCCCAGCTCTCTCAGCCTGGCTCCAGAGCAGAGCTGCTCCAGCCCTGAGCTGCTCCAGCCCTCATAGTGTCCAGATGGCCTCCTCTGGACTTTCCAGGTCCACAGCATCCATGGTTACACAGAAACATTGATGTATGCAGAGCCTGGGGAAGAAGGCCTGGTGTCAAAACACAGTCGTGTAACTGGCCAGTTTTTGTCATCAATGTGGAGATATGCATCAATAAGTTTTAACAGGGGAAAAGAAAAAAAATAGGAAGTTTGCTCTAAGTGTAAGGAAACCAAGTTTAAGTACTGCTCCTTCCCTAAAACCAAGCATTCAAAACTGCAAACAACTCTACTATTCTTAAATACTGGCATGTTCTTTTAGCAAACATAAAAGCACAGCAAAGAGCCTCCATGTCAAGTTACCTAACTGTTATAAAGTCCTCTGTAAATATTTACCATGTGCTAAAATGCAAGTCAAGAGTTATTTTTGCTTCAGGCAACATTAACACAGAGGCTGCATTTGCAGAGAGATTTGTGAAGTCGGCAGGAGCTGACCTTGCCAAAGAGAAAGGCTGAGTTTTTACAATACATACAGGAAGCCAAAACAATTGGGGGATTAATCTTAAAAACACTTGTTGAGATAATGGGCTGCTATTAAACTTCTATAATAAACATCAGGAAAAAGAGAGTAAGGAAATCCAGCTGTGGAGGATGGGAGCTGACTTGATGGTATCGGGTGGAGGCAGTAAAATCAGTGCTTAGACAAGGCTTTTTATGTTGATCAGCTTTACAGCTATTGGATCTCACTCCACATCTGAGGCTCACATCTTATTTCAGTGATCACAAAATTCTTCTTACAGAGCCTCACAACACAAAGCAACACAGGAACTGCTGAGAAAGCGTGTCCAAGCAAAATTCCTTTTGGTCTGCATCATACTGCTCCTTAGCTGTTAATTACTGGAAAACCATTACCAAGCAAATCCTCCTGCAAGATTTGTGAATACAAAGGGAAGCCCCATTGAAAACGAACTCCACTGACCAGCCTGTCCCACTGCCACTCAATGGCAATTAATTCAGTAATAAATGTGGCTTTTAGTCAGTATTTTGTTCCCCTGCTTCTCAATAAATGTCTGAAAAACCCTATTTAGAAACAAATATTTCCCTTTGGCTTTAGACGTTTACTTAAGGTTCTGCAGTTCAGTCATTTAAACCAGAACTGAAAGAATTCATCATTTTTCCTAACTAAGCAGAGGCTTGTCTGAAAAACCAAATTACAGCATGTTTAATACAAGCTGCAACCCATTCATTTTGGGCAGAATGGGACAGAGATCGCTCTTATTAGTTTTTGCTTTCTTCTTTTTAATTGCCTTTAAGATAATTAGAACTTTACTCTTCTGTTCTCAAGTGCTTTAATATTCTACAGTTCTGCTGGGAAGCAGCGTGCTCAAATGAAGAGACTAAACTGGAAGACAGACCCATGACTCCCATGGATTTCTGAGAAAACAGAGCAATTACAATCTTTGGTTTAATTTAAGTTACCAAGTAACAGAGAACTGAGGACTGCTCTTACGATGACCAGAGCTCTGCTCTGCTCCATTACCTGGTGACACTGGGCTTAGTTTGAACTAGTTAATAACAGATTCATTTAAAAGCTGTAAAATCTTTAAGCCTCAGAGTAGAACATGCAAGAAGAGGAGACACATTCAGCTATTCAAAGGGAGCTTCCCCATATTTTGACTTTCAAGCTCCTGACAGATCTGACCAGCTGCAACACTTTTTACAAGTGTAAAGCAGGTTTCCAGTCCCAAGTTCTTAGAGGTTTTGCAGTGTAAGTACTGGTGAATTTGAGACTGCATATAGAGGCCATTTTCTCCCATAATGTTAGTACAGATGAATCCTCTTCCCAAGGAATCTGTCTTAATGACACTGACAACATACTAAATCACATCTCTGCTTTCCAGTGATAGACTGTGGCTGTTCAATGGTATTTCCAGATAAAAGCACAAACCCTGGTAACAAGGGGAGCAAACACATCAGTGAAGTGAGAGAGTTTCAAAATGTCTCTGCCTACACACAAAGCATCTGATAAGAAGGTAAACAAGGTTAGAAATCCTTCCACTGATTTCAACCACACCTAGTCCAGGGAGAGGCCAACATACTGAACACCACGCAGGATTCTATTTCTGGCTCCATCAATTCGTGCCAGGTTTTTCAGAACCTCACTGCCTATAGTTTCAAACAAACAGAAAAAAGCTTATTGTTTCTGGGTAAAAAAGAAAATTAGTGACTGAGGACTGATACCTGTACCTAACATAAATATACTGTTATTATAGAATTGTCTCGTGATTCAGGATGTTTGATCCGTTTTCTTAAATAGCATTTTATACAAGTAACAGCAAAAAACAGCACATCCGCTCATTATTTTCACCCACTGCCACATTAACTGGCGGTGAACAAGTTTCTGCTGACCCTGTCTTAAGCTTCTTAGTGCACAAGTCCGATCATGACTTGCTGCTTCCTCCTTGAGCCCCACCAACTAACTGGTATTTGCTTTTTGACAACTATTTTCTAAGCTGGTCTCATTAGCACTGAAACAAGGAAAAATGTCTTCAAGTCTGATTAAACCTAAAGCATAACTGGCATTAATTTGGACTGTACTTCAGAAAAAGTAGCTACTGCTGCTGGACACCAGGTATCTGACACAGCTTGGGTTTTCTATTTGGACTTTCTAGCTTCCTATTTGGAATGTATTATGGATCTGATTTTGCATGGAAGATCATTCTAGGAGGCCATCTGTCATACACTAATTCCTCTGCTGGATAAGTACTTTAGTTAAAGTACATGCAGGATTAAAGTTTTATTATTCAGTAAACTGAAGACATATTATAAATGTATCTGTGTGTGTGTGTGAAATAAATATCAGGAGTTAAAGCAGTATTGTTTATGTGAGCATCTCTTCCACGGAATAAAACATAATGAACTACTTTAAAACTGCCTATTCAGTTGCAGTCCAAATTCCACTACCACATTCTGCTCCACCATATACCATAGGAAATCACACAGATGTACCCACAGAGACAATACACACGCCAATGTGGCAAAAGTATCAGGGAAGTTTTGACATTGTACAATTAGGTAGGTTAACAGTTAGCTATCAGAGTATGTTAGATCACAAATACACTCATATCTGTGTCTATTTAATAAAGTATTGATTAAAACTTACACACAAAGGTCTCCACGTGTGTGCACAAGTCGCCACACTTCGGGCAGCGCAGCTGGTTCCCTCCTTTCCCAGAGTTTCCAGAGCTGGACTTTTTACCACTGCCCTCACTGACAGACTTCTGAAACAGATTTCCAGACAATTAGCCCCCCTGACAGTGGAGCTGTTACATGAGGCAGTTACCAGCATGTTACAGAATCCAGTAATATGAATACTGCAATAGCTGGATGACAAAATAACTACTGCCAGCATTTGGTACTGTCTTTGAAAACCAAGAACACAATACAAACATTTTGAGTGTTCACACATCTGCATTTCCCAGGTACGCCAATTTTGGATCCCCATGGAAGAGGCATCCCATACCTTGACTGGTACTAGAATAGTAACAAGCTCAACTGTGTCAAGAATGTTTTAATAGTATATTTCAATGCAACTTATTCTAACCCCAGAGAAGAAAATAAATCATACTTAAGAGCAATTTCATTATCACAACTGTGTTGACTCTAAGGGTTTCTGAAGCCACAACTCCTCTCGTGTCCTTGACAGCTGTAGCTACCCTGGCAGATATAGAACAAGCCTCTCAAATTGCTTGGAAATATTTTATTTTTCACTTCTAAAGCAGAGTTTCCTGCCAGAGCCCTACTTGTCTTTCTCTGTGTTACCCTACCTAGTGGTGTTGAAGGTTAACATTGTTTAAATCTATATCCATTGAATGCCTTCATAATTTGATAAATAATAAAAGCCATTGTATTTTAAGAAACTGTAAACATCTCTCTTCCCTCTTCTAAGGCAGTTCCCCATTTTCTTAAGCCTTGCTTGCCTACTCATTTCTCCTTGTAACTCTTCCCCCCCAAAAAAAGACTATTAAACTTTATCTTCCTCCTTCATAGGTTACAATACTTTAATCTGAAGCTTCAGGACACACCTGTGTCATCTGGACAGCTCCTGAGATGTGCCACACTAAGGCAAAGTTATTTCCTGTGAACTTCCAAAATCTTCTTTGCTGACTAAAGAGCAGTTTTATTCTCAGGTAATCATTTATCTGAAGAAGCTGTTCATTAACTAATCATAAAGAAAGACTAGAATAAAGCTAGAATAAAACTTGCCTTGCTTTGTATAACTACCAAATCAGTGCTGAAAACAACATCTTCCAATGTACTCACTTTGAAAAGCCTACTTGGGAATAGCAGGCTTTTGAAGGAAAATAATTCTGATCTCTTTCCTGATATCCTGAAACCTGTTGTGGATTTCTAACATTCTACAAAGCTTTCAAGTGTCACTTTACACTAGGCAAAGAGATTTATAAAACTGGGAAGACCTTTAAGGGATGTTTATAAGGTTTGTCTGCTAAAAAATTCACAATATCATTTATTTTCTCTTCACTGTCACTTGTAGCAATTTGAAGGATCAGAAATGTCAGGACTTAGGAAAAATTTCAAGAAGATTCTAATTGGAAGTAGGGAAAAAACCTACTCATTTTACATAAGCTACTGACCTACTCGTTTTATATAAGCTACTGAAAAACCTAATGAGCGGGGACTACCTTGTTTCCATCTCCAGAACCATCCTTGCTTGCACCATCTTTTGAAGCAAAGTACGCTGGTGTTTCTGAAAAGTTCCTAAGAGGGATTCGTCTCAGGGAACAAGTTTCAAAAGTCCCAAGTTTTCCTAAAACAGGGATGCGTGAACGGCCACAAGTGATACCTGAAATAAAAGGAAAACATGAAAATTAAACATGAAAAATCCCCCAGTTCTAATCCCAATACCACCAAACCTCAGAATTTATTTACATTAAAAGGAGCACAAAGGTTTCAGCAACAGCACTGAACTCTCAACATCCAAATTTCAGTTACTCAGTACAAACTCTCTTCACCACCTTTAGAAGCTGTTCATCTGATGTTTGGCCTGGATTGTCCCAAAATGACTCCAAATTAATTCCATTTTCTCTGTCAGACAATTGACAGCCCCACTGTCTCATGAAATAGGGAACATCCCAGTTATGAAACTGATCCTCAGAGTGATAAACACAACCAACGACCAGCAATTAACGTGAAATAATTCAACCACTGAAATACAAAGAGACCCCTTTGAAGTGTCTCCTTATTACACAAAAGTTACCAGTGAAGTATCTCAGCCTCATGGACTGCACATCTGGATTTGGCTTTCACTTGTGAACTCTACTAAAAACCAGTTTCCAAGAGTCTGAGGTACCACTTGACAACACAAAGCTGTCCTGAGGAAAACTGAAAGGCAGCATCATATTTGGCACACGCTGACAGACCGGCACAAGTAAATTCAGCATAATCTTGACTTTGTTGGGACAGCTTCTTGCCAACATGAACAACAAACTCTTTGAGCAACTAAACAGCCTCTTCCTCCTCTTGCAACAGCGGGTAGGATTACATTTCATGACTAGGTATGATGTGAATCAACATATGTCATGCTCCAGATTTCAACATCTCTCATGATCCTGATAAACAAGAGCCTGGAACCCACCTCTCCTATTTAAAGTGGCAAATTTCTCCCTTGCTCTCTAGTTTTGACAAGAGCTTTGTGACTTGCTGACTGAAGAGCTGTACAGTAACAATGAAAATTGTAAACCTGCTGATAATACATGAATTTTCTGTTAGAGAGATGAGAGAGTCCTACAGAAAACTCCAAAACCTCTTCTAAACCAAGAATAAAACCACTAAGAATGGCAAGAGTAGTGCAGTTCATTTGCTTTGGAAGAGGTTAACAATGAAAACTAAGAGCTGGAATTTCAGTTGAAAGAGGACATTTAAGAACATTCACCTGGCTACTGTAACAGGAAAAGTAAAGAAGAAAAGCATTACGGATGAGTGTAAATTTGCAAGGAAAACTCACACAGGCTTCTGCAAAGTCACAACCAAGAGGACCGTGTCAAATGAGATTTGGCGTTGGTTTATTAACCTACATGCAGCTTAAGATTCCTCAAAGATGATTTGCATTTATTTTAAACATGACTAAAAAAGGAATCTTTGGAAAATCTGTACTAGCATTGCTTTTGTCTGTAAACATGAGGGAGGAATAACAATCATTGTGCTTTCCAATCCTGCATTCCTCTGCTCAGTGCCACTGCAGCACAGCAAAGCACTTTAGATTTCGTAGGATAAGCTATGAAAATATCATAGTAAACTTAAAAATACTGGCTTCCTTTCACATACAGTTGTGTTCTTTCAACTGAATCCGCAGACTGCGTGTGCCAAGCGCACTTGTCAGTTGAGAATAAGCTGTGGTGTATGTTTACAATGCGATAGCTGTTCTGCATAAATTGCTTCTCTTGGGGCCTCATAGATGGTTCCTTTATTGAGATTTGGTTTACCACTTCTAAAGGGAACTGAGAAAAGACCCCTTAAATAGAAAAACCAAAATACTTCACCTCCCCTGAACAAAACCCCATGTCATACGGCTTTGCTGCAATACAGGGAGATTCAGGCTGAAAGGATGAAGCACTAACACAGAAACTCAAACATTTTACCACTAAGCACTCCACGTGGACTAACAATCACTGACTTTAATTCAGAGAGCACCGTTGATACAGAAAATGCACTGAAAAACTGTACTGGATGGACTGCAAAACTGCAGTGAGTTGTGAGTGCCACCTTACTGCCTGCGCCCCTCTATTGATCAGAAACACTGCAGCTGTGGGACTTCACCTCCAGCCTTTGACAGGACGCTGGCAGCAAACCCAGGCCAGGCAGCAGTGTTATACCCACACTGCAAGGCTCTTGTTGGTGCTAAATTCACTTCACTCTCACAGTTTAGCTTTCTGGGAACATTAAACTCACTCTTCTTTGGGTGCTGAACTCTAAAGGGTGGAGATAGGCTAAACAAGGGAAAAAGAAATCATGTTATTGCTACATCAGCTTATGGCTAAACACGAAAACCCCATCCCTGTGCTTATCACAAGGTCTGAGTGGTATTTTCTTGACAAAATCTCATTGTACAATTAAAAAATGAAGCACTAGGGAAGTTATCACAGCGACTTTAAGCATAAATAAGCCCAGAGGCAGACTTCTCAGAGGAAATTAACATTCCAGCCCAACACCTGGCAACTTCCACTGAATGATCCAGACACTGATAAACGTTCAGCTATGCCACAGCTGACACTAGCACAGCAGTATGTGCTCACACACACCACAGGCAGTCTCAGGTGGTTGTTTGAAACAGTAAACTTAAAGGACATTTAAATGTTGTTGTAGCAGTGGCACCTATCCAAGGTGTTTGGATTAGTGTGTTAAGAAATGGGAGGCTCCTTTGCACCTTATTAACCTTTAACTGATACTGAGGAAATAAATACTGACTTTTAGGCCAAGCTTCAAGTACCTTAGAAGAATCTATTGCCCAAGGAAGCGACAGGAAGTCTGTGACAAAGCTCTCTCTCGCAAGCCACTTCATCAACCTGACTGATCCATGCACTCTGAATACTCTCAAGCTTGTACCAACCAGCAACAGCAAAGTACCTAGCAGAACACATAATGTTACAACAAAAATGCACCAAAATAAGAATATTTTTTTAAGACTTTCATGGAAAGCTGATACATAAATAATCTTATTCCTCTGTATCTGTTTTAGTTTCCTTTGTTCTTTCACATCACTTTTAAATCTTAAGTTTTAGCAAGAAAAAAAAACAAACTTAAAGAATATACAGTTCTGAAGTGAATTCAGAATGTTACTTACTTTGAATTTTATTATTTCAATGGGTTTACGTGAGGCCAGGCAGCCTGGAGGTGAACTGACTGGTTCAAACCTTTCTGTACAGGTGATGTCACACATGTAAATGTGAACTCAACTGCAATGAGTTAACTCACCTCTTGAAGGCAATAAATCATCTCTGACTTGTCAGGCTACTGCTGAGGGTACAATTAGAATCTTGTGGCAACAGCAGAGACCTTCAGCACAATTCTGGGGTGGTCTGCCTTTCCCCAAGCAGCACAGGGCACGTCAACCCTCACTACCCACAAGAACACCATAAAAAGCACAAAAGCAGTAGAAAAGGAACAACCTTCTCCTGCTTCAGCTTCCAGTAAGTGTTTTGCTGAGTTTCACCCTTCCACCGAGTTGGAAATAACTACTATTTGCTATGTGAGCCCAAATCTTTGTAAGAAACATTTCAAGTTTAGGCTGCAAAAGACAGGCTTTTACTCAGCTAAGCACACTACTGGCACTGCAGGGTAACACACACTGTGCGACTGCTGCTGACAAGCATTTCTGTCGAAATAAGCTCTATTATTGCATTACATTTCCCAGAAGATGTTTCAACGGGGGGTGTTTTCCAGAACTTCACACTGTGGAACGCTGCCCTTCATCCTGACACGGCACCGGCCGTCCCCTCGCACCACCCGGGTGACAACAGCGAAAGATTAGCAGGAAAAGGAAAGAAACAAACACCAAACAGGCCGGGGCAGGCTCCACTGAAGCCTTTATCGCCGCGCTGCAGCACGGAGCTCCCCCGCCGGCCGCCGCCGGGCTCATTCCCCAGCAGCGCCTCCGGAGCGCGGCGCTCCCCGCTGACACCGCTCCGGTAGCGACTCTGCGGGCTCCGCAGCCCCCGGCAGCAGCGGTGTGAGGGGCGCGGAGCGCTGGCAGCCGGCGGGAACGGGGCTGCCCCTGAGCGGAGCGGAAGCCCCCACCCGCCCACCTCCGTGAGGCCCCGGGACGGAGGGCCCAGCCCCGCCGGCTGTAACGCCAGGCCGGGCCGCGGCGGGGGAGGACGGCGGTTACCTCTCCGCGCGGAAGGCAGCGTAGAGCCCAGCAGGCGGGCGGCGGCGGCGCAGCTGTGGCAGGGGTCTGTTTCTCACTTTCAGCTCCTAATTGTCACGTCCCACTTAATCGAAGCTAATTGATCCCACCTGCTCTTTACAGGAATGACTCAAGAGACCAGAACAGATCTGCTGCTCTCCTTAATTAACCGGAGCCGCCCTACAGCAAACACCATCAGGTCGTGCTGACAGCAGATAACACTACTGCTCGGCTGCACCGAGCGGGAAGATTAAATGTCATTTTTAAGGTATCTCTGCATAGAGGCATCAAGGGAGCTGAACTAACGCCTGTTAAGAGTGAGAGCCCGCCTTGAACACACGCCAGCTCATTGCAATCACTCGCATTTCTCATATATACATAACAAACCGGCGCTCTCTCCCGCTGGATGGCAGCGGCGCCTGCACTAAGCAGAGAGGCGGCACAGCGCAGAATAAAGCACCGCCGGAGCGCTCCGCACCTTTATTTCTATATTAAAACAACGCTGTGAGAAACCAGCCCCACGGACGCTCCGGCCAGCCAGGCGCGCCTCGGTAGCAATGGCGCCTGCCGGCGCTCCTCCCTGCCGTCACGTGTCCGGCGCGGGAGCAGCACCCGGAAGTGGCCACCGGCGGCGTGAGCCCCCGCTTAGGCGCGGCGGGGAGCGGGAGGAGAGCGGCGGCCACGGGCCCTGCCGAGCCGGTGAGGGCCGAGCGGCAAGAGGGGAAGGGGTGTCGCTGTGGGGGTAGGCCTGTCCTTCTTGCTTGGGCCTCGGACCAGAGAGGGGGGGGCTGGGGGGCACTGGGGGGCTATCGGGCTCTGAGCAGATTGAGGTGGGGAGTCTCTAAAGCTCCGGTACAACATCAGTCCTGCACAAGCCTGGGCCCCAGGGGCCGGGTGACTCTGAGGAGGTCTCAGGTAGGGGAGAAGGGGGATACCACAACCCCTGGGCTTGGAGCGGGGGGGAGGACTCGGGACTCTTCCCAGCAGGACACTCAAAGCTCTGCACTGCAGGTTCTTGTCATTGGGGGGCTCTAAAGGGAAGGGGCCGCCTCAGCCTGTGCCTGGGCTGGGAGTACCGAGTGGAGTTTGCCTCCCTTCTACCTGCAAAGATGGGTGAGCCCGCTGTGTCTGGGTACGAGACTGGGGTTGGTGGGCACCCTGGGGCTGGGTTAGCGGTGACAGCACTGAGGGAGTGGGGAAGGTGCTACTGCCATGTCCCAGTTAATCCATAGCTCTTCTTCCCCGTTGCCTGTGTTTGGTATTCATAGGGCGCCCGTAGCCCTGATGTTTCCCCTGCATGTCCTGGTGCTTGCCTGCAGCTCCTGCCAGCTCTCAGTGCTGCTGTTGCTGATTCAGGTCTCTTGGCCCAAAGGAGTGGGTGCTGCGTGGCCAGTGCACTGGGAGGGCAGCTGCACAGTGGCCCTGGCGCATACAGACACAGCACGGGGAGAGGAGCGAGTTCCCGCTCATGTAATCCACCCTGACAGGGGGTTAGTCTCTAGTGGCACAATCAAAGTCTTTCTAAATCAATAACAAATGGAACATGTCACAGTGTAGTGGGGATAACTCCCAAGGAGAATGTTATGAAGTGCTGTCAATGCATCCATCAGTGATTCTTCCTTTAGAGGAATTGTTTTTAAGAGGTTAGAGTTCTTCAAATTGCTTGGTTTTATTGCACATGAAACTTGGGTCTTTAGAGGCTGCATTATGAACAGCATCAGGGTATTTCTGATTTGAGTTGCCTTCAGTGGCTGATTCCCTGTTTTGAGTTCATGGTTCAGCTTTTCTGTGACTGGAAAAGCTCATGGCTGTTGTTGGCATGAATATTTATTTTGTGGCAAACTTAATGCTGTGTTTCTGTGCCAAGGGAAAATAGAATCGGTAACAAGACGTCAACTTCAGCAAAAGTTCTATATAATCAATGAAAAAACTGTTTCCTCTTGCTATAAAAGAGGGGCAGTCCTCAAGAGTGGTGATCACAGATGTACCTGGACAAGAATCAGCCAATGGTTTGCTTCCATGAGCAGTAAGAGGCGAGATGGGAAGCTCAGAATCTATGTTGCAGGTGGCCTCTTGGTGTGGTGTGAGCATAGCCTGAGAGGATGAAGTCCATCTGCATCACGCTTTTCCTTACCTAGTCTGGTGATAGGCAGCTTCCAACTCATTCCAATTGAAATGCCAGCCTGCAAGGGTTAGCTTAACAGTGCTGAAAGACTGAGGTGGTGGAAAAAGAGAGGCAGTTGCAGCAGGAAGTTTGCCAACCCTTTATGGCAAACAGAATCACTAGCAGAAGGCCTCCCTTTCCTGTGCCTCTATATCCATGCAGTGCCTGGCAGAGTGAGGCCCTGCCTGTGACTTGTGTTTCTTGGCCCTGTTGCAATATAATGGTCAAAGAGAACATGTTGTCTTAAGGCATTTGCTGATAATTTATTTCTGCCCTTATTTTGTCTGAGCAGCTTTTTGAGAGCTACTTGAGGTGTAGTTATGGAAAGGAATTGGTCTGGACTGCACTTCCCTTTCTGTAATAACCGGCTGTCCCCCTTAGTCTGTAACATACGTTCGTGCCTTCTCTGCAGGTTGTTGGAATAGGTATTTTTTACCTCTGCTGTAATTTTACCTGCAGCCAGATTGGCAAAGAACAAAACAGTTGATAGAAGCACCAAAGCAAAGCTACACAAAAGTGAAACAAGGGTACCTCAAACCCTTGTGGGACATGAGAGGTGTTATCACGTGCTCTGTATGTGTTGTCTTGACATTTAGAAAGTGCTTTCACTTTAAAGTTCATGTTTTCTGTGCCTGGCAAAGGGCAAATGAAGGCTGAAGGATGAGGAAATAGTAAGTAACTGTTAACCCAATCAGCTGGTTGAGCCTGTGCACCAACAGCTTTTCTGCGGGGAGCAATGGAGTGATTCACAGAACATACCAAGGTCTTATTTTATGAAGAATTTGGAAACAAAACCTATTAATTTATACTTGGCAACTGTTAAGTAACAAGAGCAAAAGTTTCTTTGTTTTATTATGCCCAGTGCTGTGTGTGAAAGCATGAAAATAATCTCCTGAGGCAGTTGGCTTTCAGGGTAAAGCCATTGAGTCTGCAGGCTTGGGAACTGTTTGATACAGTCTCTTTTATAAATGGAAGCTAATGGCCCCTCACTGCCTTAAAAGAAGTTAAATCTAGAAGTGTTTATTACTAATTTATGGAGTATCATAAGACACTCATTAGGTCTGCTAGGACATTCTGACTTCAGAGTGAATTAGTGGCATTCCTGTGTGGACCCGTGTCTGAATCTATTTGTTCTGTATTAATTGTTGTGCTTCAAAGTTATCTTTCTTGGTAACTCCTGACCAGAGTCGGCTTCTGTGTGGTTAGAATTAAAGCTTCAGGGCTTGCTTGTAAGTTAAGCCTCAGATCAGATGGGACCCCCTTGGGTCAGTTACATTGAGATGGAAGAACATGGTCTGAATGCTTAGGCAGTGAGTTCATGAAATAACTTAATTCTGTTGTGTGAACTGCTGAGTTAGCTGTATAAATATTTATTAGACATAAATTTGGAGTGCTTCATAAATTAAAGCCAAGTCAAAAACATGTTTTAGGTTTTTAAGCCGCTTATATCCTGCAACACAGTTGTCCTCTACAGCTGTTACAAAAGCATCATCGCAATCAGGCTAGTACATTAAGGCAATCAGGTGGCTGCCTCTTGGGAGAATTACATGGTTTGGGATGAACACTGAAGATAAGTAAACTTGGTGTGGGTTAGAGGCAGTACAATCAGCTGATCAGAGCAAACTCACCCTGCACATGCTTTATGTACGTGGCACAGCTTTTGAGTGCTGCCTCTGTTAAAGCTGTTGGATCAATTTATTGATTTCTAACTTTGTCTCTCTCTTTCAGGCTGACCTAATCTGAGCATTTCCTAAACATCATGGGAGAGATTAAGGTCTCTCCCGACTACAACTGGTTCAGAAGCACAGTTCCCCTTAAAAAGGTGTGTACAGCTGCCATGGTCTTGTGGTGAAATGTCTCCTCTTGCTGTGGTGGGTGAGACTGGTTAATGCAGAACAGCTGGGGCTGTGCTGGTGACCTGGTTTATCTCCTGAAGTGTTGTCCCACGTGTCATGTAAGTGCATGAAAGCATGCCCTACACTTCCACATGCTTCTGGGAGGTCGGTTCTGCATGTGGTGGTGGGGAGCAGAGGCTCACACTTGTAAGCCACAGCAGCAGTACCCAGCATCCTGATTCCAGCTATGCCTAAGGAGGAGACTCTGAGGAACTGGGGTGTGCTGGGGATGACATGCAGGGCCTCTCATGGAGCACCAGGGCAGGGCAGCTGACCCAGCCACCACAGCCAGGCTGCCAGAGCCACCTCTGCTCTTCCTGCACATCGTTCCTGGGAGTGGGGATGCGCCTGAGCCATGGTGGAAAATACCATGTGGTTTCTTCCGCTGCGTGTCCTTTAGATGTATTCTGCTTAATCACACTTTCCAACCACTTTCTCCTCTCACTTGGATTTCTTCACTCCCTTTCACTTAACCACAGGAGAGTGTTTGAGGTGAGCAGTGCTCCACCTTCTGCTCTCTATGTGCTGAATGGCAGAGGGCATGGAGTGCAGCGCTAATATGTAGCTCCTGCCCTGGACTAACTCTTGCACATACCTGTTGCAGATAAGGCTTCTGGGAGCTGCCGTTACAGACTAAGGAGCCCAGAATCCTGCCACACTGAAGGACAGTCTTACCTTTACACACCAACCTGCTGATCCTGCCAGCACAGTCATTGAGAGTCAGTGACCTGTGAGCTTGGGGGTGTTCTATAGTTTGTTTTTGGGCTAAGACGACCTCCAGCTGGTTCAGTTTCCTAATCTGGATGGCTGTGTGGGCTGTGAGAACATGAGGATGGTGCTGGCAGCAGCGGCAAGAGCAGCACTGCCTGTTTCAACAGCAGGTTGGTTGCAGTTGGGCCACACAAAAGGGACTGTGTCCCAAACCTAAGGAACAATCCTTACATGTGCTCAGCATTATTTCCACTGAGTGGTTGTGTAGCTTTCTCTAAGAAACTACCTTTATGGAAGGGCTGTAGGATCTTCTGTTGAGGGTTTCTCATTCATTTTTGCCAGTTTGTGTTTTCTGTAAGTGAGAAAGATGCATTGCTGTGATTGTGCATGCTCTGTAGCCTCTGGCTGTCCAGCTTCTTTCTGTTTCTGCCCAGTTCCAGATGTCCTGTGTCTGTTTGTGCCATGCTGTCCCCTTCAGGCAATGGGTCAGCAAACCCAGGGGATGGTATTCCATTGGAAAGGCATGTGGTTGCTCTGAGGCACTGCTTTCTGGGGTGCTCTCTGGTAAATGAAAGGTGCTGGAGGTTGTGGTTACATCAGGACATGCTCCTGCTGCCATGGGGACTGTGACACCGCAGCTCACTGCCAGGGGCTGCTGCCTTCAGCTGCTGCTAGGGTTTCATAAATGGGGACATGAGTAAACTGAAGCTGCTGCTGACCTTCAGATGGGAATACCCTATCCTCCCGAGTGGTTCAGTCTAATGATGGCACAGTGATGCATGCGGGTATGAAGAAGATGGAAATAATCAAAGTAGTCCTGGTTTTTGGAGAGAGAAGGGGAAGCAAAGCACACCTCAAAGATGTAATTGATCTCTAAAGCAGTCTTTAGGAATATTTATTCCCCCTCCCGCCCTGAAATACAGGCAAAGCATGTGCAGAGCAGAGGAAGGGATGACTATCATTATTGCTGATAAGCTCGTGTTACTGCTGTCAGATGAACTTAAGGAAGCAAAGCTGGAGCAGATTGTTTGAGAACAGGCTGAGATGTTCCTCCTGACAGGAGCAGGAAATGCACAGCTCCATCACCCTTCCGGCTTTTCTCAGATACAGGAAGTGCAGCACAGAAAATAACAGTTTTAATCCGAGTTTTTAGCTTTGCCTTTGAGCCACTATTTGCATACACTGCTCCTGTCTTAGATAAGCCCTTCAGCAAGGGACACTGGCCCTGCTAAGCTCAAGCAGGAAGTTCTGCCCCTTGTTCTGATGCAGAGCAGATTTTACCCTTTATGTAAACTGTAGGTGATGCTGGCTTATCAACCAAAACCAGAAAGCTGTAACCTCCCAGCTCAGCAGTTACCCATGCTGCTGTCTGCCTGCATAGTGCTTGGCCTGGCTTGGGATCTGGAGTGAAACCACATGGTATGTGGCCAGAAATCAAATCAAACCATTGTTGAAACCCATTGATTCATTGTCTGGATTTGAGGAAAGAAACATCTCTGAGCCTCAGCTCTCTGGACTCTCTGAACTAACTTTGGGTTTGTGATTCCAAGGAGTATTCCTAAAGGTAAATGTTGCAGTAGCCACCAACGGCTGCCCAGATCCAACATTACTGGTGGATTGACAGCTGGAGCTCTGGACTTGTGTGCAAAGGGCTGTTTTGGGGGTGGAAGGGCTTTTGTACAGTGTTTGTTTTTGAATGGTCTGGAAGCTGTGCTGTGCAATCCTGCTTTTTTCCATAGAGACTTTACAAAACAGTATCATGTGATGTCTCACATGCTCCCAGAGCCTGAAATACCGGCTTCTGTACAAGCAGATTGTTAGTCAAGCAAATCAGCTTTGTGATATGCTGCTCCCTGATTCCCTGAGAAGCTTAACTGCTGGGATGGAAAAGCAAATTGTGCTTGTGTGTTACTGTTCAAAAAGCTGTAAAATCTTGATGCAGAGGAGGTGAATTCCCACTGTGTGACACAGGCTTTCCCCAGAGGTTTGTGCTTGGTGGTCTGGTTTGAGCTGCACATTTTGGCTGGGTTCTGGGATGTTGAAAGAGCATCCTAAGTAAACAAAACAGTTTGCTGATGGAACAGGCCCTGTAAAAACAAGTCAGGCTCCAGCACTGCTGGAAAAGGAGACTTTTACCTCATTCTGGTACTTGTAAGGATACTAATTGTGCCTGAGATGGGCACTGTGTGAGGAGCTATCCGTTAAGCTTGCATGTGAATACTCTGCCTCAGCCAGCCATGTGTCCTGAGCACTCCAGATGCTCCCAAGGTACTGCCAGATGATGGAAGCATTTTTCTTCCCAGGTCAGCTTTGCAGTGCTGCTTTGGGAGCTGTGTGCATCTTGGTATCTGGCAGCCAGCTGTAGCTGCTTCAGATCAATAACTTGTGGTGTTAC